GGGCTTATAGGGCTTAAAGGGTTTAGGGTTTAGGGTCTAGGGTCTAGGGCTTAAAGGGTTTAGGGTCTAGGGTCTAGGGTTTAGGGTTTAGGGTTTAGGGTGTAGGGTTTAGGGTTTAGGGTTTAGGGTTTAGGGTTTAGGGTTTAGGGATAGGGCTTATAGGGTTTATAGGGTTTATAGGCCCCCAGACTCGCAGGGTACCTCCCCGACGTTTCTGCTTTTGTTTGGCCATCTTTCTGTCGATAGTTTTAGGACAGAAGGGCCGAAACATCCACACGCCATAAGCTTTCATATAGGGGCCTAAAGAATCATCAATACGACTTTAGGGGTTCCTGATATATCATATTTATAGTATAATGGAACCCAAAACCCTATGCTAATTATAATGGAACCCAAAACCCTATGCTAATTATGAAGCCCGCTATGGTGTTTGGAATCCTGACATTCAAAACCTCAACAGCCTAAACCCCTGAAGCCACAAAACACTCCAAAATCCTGGCCTTCCACCCTAAACCCTAAACCCTAAACCCTAAACCCCAAACCCGTAAACCCCAAAAAACGAATAACCCCTGGCCTTCCAGGAATCGTTGTCCTTCTGCAGCTCCACCTGCGTAGCGCTTCGAGGGCTCTACTAGGGAGACAGGGCACCCTCATGGGAATTTCAGAAATGATGTAGTAGGGTTTAGGGTTTCGGGTTTAGGGTTTAGGGTTTAAGGTTTAGGGTTTAGGGGTTGAATTTTCTCAAATGACATAGGGCCGCCTTAGTCAGAATAGGGTGTTGGGGTATATTCTACCATAGTATTGTAGAGAATCTCAGGGGATACTATCAGTTATTATAGAGACCCACTATACTAAAGACTCTCAAACCGTCTTGTTTCGAGCATAGGGACCCTAAACCCCTAAACCCTAAACCCTAAACCCTAAACCCTAAACCCCGTTTTAAGAAGCCCCATTGACTGGCAGAATTCCCGAATGATTTCCGGAAGACTTCGACGGCAGGCCCCCTAAGAAGGGTGTTCAAACAAGTACCTCGGGATCTCACCCCGGAAACCCCTTAAATCCTGTTTAAGGTTTAGGATTCAGGGTTTAAGGCTTAGGGTTTAGGGTTCAGGGGAGCTCTAAACTTACCCTACACCCTAAACCCTAAACCCTAAACCGCTGAAGCGACCTATGTACTTCAAGACACCGAAGCCTTCGCAGGCCATTTCCGAAGGAAGCTCAGGGCGTCAGTCTCCCCGGCCTAGGCACATCGGCGGATAAGACAAAAATAGAAGTAGCAGTAGAAGTAGAAGTAGAAGTAGAAGTAGAAGAAGTAGAAGTAGTAGTAGTAGTAGTAGTAGTAGTAGTAGTAATAGTGTGGTCGTCGTAGTAGTAGTAGTAGTAGTAGTAGTAGTAGCAGTAGTATTTGAACGGACATCGATGCATTGCCCATTCGGATGATCGCCTATGATGATTAGGGATGCTCTCGGGACTGCACAGCAGGCCGATCGCTGCTAATATTCAGCTACGCTGCATCGCAATCCATTTTGGCCCAAGCATGAGCTATCGCACTAAAATCCATTCGACTTATTCGGTGCTATCGACACGCCAATGCCGGACACTGGTGCTTTAGAAGGGCTTGATAAGGGTTTTAAGTATGGAGTTTCAGGGTGAAGGGTTTCGAAAAAAGTTTGAAGGAGGCTTGCATGTGCACATACATACTGAAGACCCTTTAAACCCAAGACCCAAGATCAACAATCCTAAACCCAAAACCCTAAACACCAGACCCAAACCAGTTTCCAGAAGCCCCTACATCATCCCAATCTTGAGCCCAACACCCAGAACCCTACACCTGGAGGAACCCTAATGGTACTTATAACCCTACTTAAGGTACTTATAACACTGATAAAGGTAGATATAACCCGACCCACGATCCTCCAAGTGCTGACGCACATCAACAGCCTAACCTTACAACCCGCGCCTCTTGGTCCCAGAAGGCTCTCACGTTTGATCGGAAGGACCCTGAAGCCCTGGTTCAGGGCTCAGGGCTATGGGCCCGGGGTTCAGGGTTAAGGGTTTAGGGTTGAGGCTTTCGAGGCAACCTGCAGAAATCACGCAAACTAGCCACCGTAAGGAGCCCAGAACGTGAAAGAACTTCGAAACCTGCCAAACATGCAAAATCCTTGCCCCTAACCCTTAAGGTTCTGGGTTTGCGGTTCTACGTAGTCCTAGGTCTAACTTCCAAGCCCTCTTCGAGATTCGAGTTCGCAGCCCCAAAGCCATAAACCTCCTAAGCCAATAAACCCTAAACCCATCCAGGCGAAGCAGGGAGCGATCACCAGCCCCTGCAACTACATCCAGGAGCTCGGTTTAAGGTTTAATATAGGGCCTCAATAAGTACTTACATTATTTTGGGGTTTCCTTATTTTAGTATAATCTGCCCCAAAACCCTATTCTAATTGTTTAGGCCCTTACATTAGGGTCTAGGGTCGACTGCTTGAGGGCTTGATGTTCGGGTACCGGGTAATCTAGGGGCCTTAATAACTACCTATACTATGTTGGGGGGTGGGTAATATAGGGGCTTCAATAATTACCTATACTATTTTGCGGGTTCCTTATTAGAAGTTAGTATAATATACCCCAAAACCCTGTTTTACCATATAGAATTTATATCGCCCGTCCTGTGGAATGCCTTGTGGACGCCCCGTACGTCCCCCCCTGAAGGCAATATCCGGGGTCTGAAATGCCTGGCGAACCCCCTCCCCCCGTCATGCCTTATGACCCTCTCGAGTTGGAAGCCAGTCCAAAACCTGTTTTAGTGCGGATGTCCATTCTTAATCACAAAATACACAAAATCATCACAGGGGCGATTTGCGAGCATTCATCAGATGCCCGTTGCATGTAGCCCACAGTTTCCGCGCTTAACTATGCTCCGTGTCGATCGTCTCCTGCAGTGGACTGCGACGCGCAGCTGCCTCCCAAAGTCCACTCTTGGAGCCCAGTCCTAGTGGACAAGAGCCAGAGCCCTCAGATCATCAAGACTGCTGACATCAACCGCGACTCGCCTCTGCCTCCGGGAATCCACACTTGGAGTCCACTCCTGCTGGATAAGAGGAAGAAGATTCAGAGAACCCACGATCTCGGAGGCGGACCACATCGGCATTTCAACTCCCCTGCGCACGACACGAACTCCCGTGACAAAGAAGCCGCAGATTTCCAGGAGCACGAAGAGTCCCCAGGCCGCCAACGGCACAAAGCCGAACGATCTGGCCGTAAGCATTTGTTTAGGGTTTAGGGTTTAGGGTTTGCGGTAAATCTTCAGTTTTCGATTCCGTATTAAAACGGTTTTGCCACCTGTACTTGAAGCCACCGCCAACATTCTTGCTGGTAGGCATAACATGATTTCATACACATTTTTTGAACTGATACTTGGGTATATCGATAGGTTCAACTGTCGGAACATTATCACCCAGTGTTCATATTAACTCGAAAGTTTATATCTTATCAGAATTGAATTACGGTGGTTGCATTGATGTCATTAGCAACCTTGAAGAAAATGAACAGAAAATAATGACAACATGTCGCAGGTGCTATTATTCTGTGCCGCAGCTATGTAAACCAGAAAATTAATATACATTCATATGAATGACTGATGCGCATGAGGGTAATATTGAAGATGGAGCTGACGGTGGTGTAAGTGTAAATAAAGATAGTGTACACTGCTTATTTTGTACATGTAATAGAAACTATAAAGAAGCCAAAACAACAACATGAGATGATAAAGTTATTGTTACTGTTGTAGCAGACAGGTCAAGCTTTTAAATCGGCAAAGGTCAGAATGTATCGCGATGTGATGGAATATTTAGACTCATCTCCACAACGTGAAGGCATTGACGGTTGTAGCACGGGATGGAGTCAACATCGGAGAACCACACCCGAAGAATGCGAAGACTAGAAAATTCAAGAAGATGTAGAACGACCTGGTAAAGATGGATCACAGTATACCACAGTCAAAACAGATGTTATGGAAAGTAAGAACTAGATGTATATACCCTTGATTGACAGTGTGCAGTTCTTTTGTATCTCAGAAGTTGAAACAGGATAAGCCCGAAGTGCCCCGAGCCCTTCTGTAGCCGGATTAGCACAGAGTACAGCCAATGCAAATTCCGTCCAGACATTGTAATACCCCGCTAGTTCTGTCTGTTGCGTGAGCGGAAGCATGGAAAGGAAGTAATGCGACACACTTACATAAGTGACACTACATAAGCTAGTATCGCCGGAAAGTTTCCACGAGTACGTCCATATCCCCAGTACTTTGCTAGTCTTGCAGTGTACTGCAGGGGCTTATGAAAGAGGAACGGCAGTTTGGGATACAGACACAATGTTGTGTTGAATATTCCAATTTTCCTGGGCCTGCTGAATAACCCTAAGCCCCAAAACCCTAATCCCTAAACTTTAAACCATCTGCTTATATAGGCTTTTCACACGAGCCCTTATATTAAAGCCTCAGCGTGCGGGACTTCAAGACCCGCTGAACCAGACATCGATCCGGATACCTTCAACCGAAATTTAGAGTTTAGGCTTTAGGGTTTAGGGTTTAGGTGTATCCTATTGCACAGTCTTGTTCCTTAAAACAAACCAAAACCCTAAACCCTAAATCTAAGCCCTAAATCCTAACTCCTAAACCCTAAACCCAAAAACCACAGCCCCGACTCCTAAACAACTCCCGAGAATCCGACAGTGTTCGTCCGGAAGCACCAGTCTCTGAACCCTAAAAACCCAAACCCTAATGTAGGGGCCTTAATAATTAGAATAGGTTTATAAGGCTAGTGTAAGGGTTTAGGGTTTAGGGGCCTTAATAATTAGAATAGGGTTTGGAGGTCTATTATACTACAATCAAAATAAGGAACCCCCACAACCCTATTCTAATTATTCAGGCCCCTGTATAAAGCCCTTCAAGCGCCCTGTGAAATCGTTCACGCAATCTGCCTGAAGCCTGAGCCCTACAATTTCAGCCTTATTTAGCACATGCATCTATAGTTACCTTACTTATAAGCCTACCTACTATGTCCCCCGATCCTCCAGGTACAGTCCCTAGACCCTGAATCCTACACCCCCGTTCCCTGAACGCCAGAGGCCGCCGTCTCCAAAATCCAGCGAGGACACCATCACGGTCGAGGCAGCAGCCAGCAGGGATCAGGGGCCTTTGGGTTGGAGAGGTTTTGGATTTGGGGTTTAGGGTT